AGGAAAGGAAGGAAAGAAGCGCCGGAAGGCAGAGCATATATATAGGTGAGCGGTCACGTGAGTACTTAGCGAGCACGTGACTCCAGAACCGTGACATTACGTGGGTGTCGAATATTATGCGTACGAGTTAAGCCTCGTACAATACTCTGTATATAGCTGGCTTACTGCCCTTAGTTTTGAGGGCAGACTCAATACCACAGATAGAAGGAATATAACCTCATCGTGGTACGGCTTCATCCAAACGAATCACGTGATTATTAGCTGTATATTGTGTTTCCAACACTAATCAGTGGTTACATGAACCACAGAACAGCAAGGCACATACAACAAGCTCTTTGTTTTCCTCTTCTCCCAACGTACGATTAATACAGCGCAGGCTACTGTACGAAACCTCGGACGAAGGCTAGAATCAGGATTCCCGGTGGCTTGCCACTTGGCCACATCTTTCGAAAAGACAGCTACTTCCAATACGACTCTTGATTATACGAAACTATGACAACCCTGTCTAAGTACAAGTTTCCCCTCAAGCTAGACTTTTGGGGATATGGCCTTGATACGACAAAAGCCGAAAGCTGGGACCAGGCTAATGTAAACACGTACATCGTCTAGAAGTTCGATATTTGGGAGGATGAAGGACACAAAGGCAAGTGGCTGTGGAGAGAGTTTAGAGAGTCGAACGGAGGGTGGAAGGAAGAATGGTTTAAGAAGGGAAGTACAGAAGCTTGGAAATTGCTCGTGAAGTTCTTGGTAACTCGAGGAGTGTACGTTAAGACGCTTCCTTTAGCTCCAGGCTCTTCGTATGCGAAACTGTTGTATGAGGTGAGTATGGAGGAGGCCCCAGCGGAATGGACGGACGAAGAGAGGAAGATATACAAAGAGAAGTTTGGTGTTGATACTCTCCGACACACATTACCTCGACAAGATATCGAGCGAAACCCTACTCGGACACTCCCTCCAGAGGGAATACCCATCGTACGACCAACAATCGAAGCACGAGAGGACCCTTAGTTTCCCGTCCTAGGACGGTACGAACGGTTCAGTGCTACGCCTCATCCTGCCTTGAACCCCGCCCCAGAAGACGACCCAGAGGAGTTGTACGGAGCAGAACCAGGAGGATATTCTCCTCGTCCACAGGTACCAACCACATCAAAACTCTTAACGGAGCTACTCAAGATCTATAAGGACGATAAGAAGTACGGAGGTGAGTTGTACGAGATCCTCGATACGTACTTATAAGTCTTCTATGACTATTGTGGGAAGGTCGGACTCCACAAATCCTATTACTACTTAGCTTTCTCGATAATGCTAAAAGGGAAAGCTTCTGAGTACTATTACGATAAGATCTCTGGACGATCCTTTGACTTTAGTACGATGGTTTTCATAACTAAAGCTCATTTCGAAACAGAGGAGAATCGCCAGCAGTACCTGACTGAGTGGAGACAGACGACATTCGAGAGTACAGTATCCAAGCATCCCGACAATTATTTATTAAAAAATTAAAAAAAAATTTATTT